TGGGAGAGCGCAGCACTGATTCTTCTTAACGCTACAACTGATGAGATATTCCTGCAGTGTATGTTTTAACTGTTAGACAATAGTTCAAAAAACAAAAGCTCTTTTCCTTCTTTAGATTTACATATTCACATAACAAAATGTGGTGGGCCTTGAATGATTACAGGATATGTAGAAAACTGTTGGCAGTAGCTGATTAAACCAAAGGATTACTCAAAAGAATATTGTGAGATACAATGAATAAAAACTAGTAACAAAGGAAAGAAAACAATGTGCATGATTTAAGAAGATGACTACTGCATCAACTATTCCAATTTGACCTGTACAATATATCAGTTGACCAAAATCACATAGTTTCTCCAGCAGCTCCAACTTCACTGTTTGAAATAGTCACTTCATTATCTGCAGCACAGCATGCATCACAGCAGAGTAGATGGTACTGTAGAGTTCAGCAATGTTTTTACTGTAAGTTATTCACTAGTTTTGGAGCAACTATGCTGTAAAGTTAATAAATAATGAACCAATCATGAAGCATTTGATATCCACGTCTTTTTTTTTTTAACTTCTTAAAGTCTGCATCAGCATTGGCTGCAAAATCTAATCTCCATGAGGACACCTGTCTGCTATCGATCCAGATAAAACTACAGGCTGTTTGTCAAGAGATTTGGGGCAAAACAGGTCATCAAAAGCATCTAACTGTGTTTGAGGGTGTAGGGATAGAAAACAAAATGGTGCAGGAAGGGCAGGAAATGTTACCCTAATTCATGGCATATTATTAAAACCTGTAAGGCACAGCATCTGTTAGTGTATTTGTAATGGCGTGCCATTTTTTTTCATATGGAAATAGTTCTGTGCATTAAACTGGGGGTGAAATTGATACTTACTGTATATCAACTTCTGAGCTTCAAGTTGAAAAATGATGTTAAGAATGCAAAGCCTATAGCAATAACAGCCCAGCTATTGGATTTTGAAAAATCACCTTAAGTCTCATAGGAAAGCCTCACTAACCAAGGCATGTGAGACTCATCACCCAGGGCCTGCTGGGAGAGATTTTCGGGAAATAATATCCTGGAAAAAAATTACAGCTCTTAACGTTTTGTTTTATTCAGAATTCGAAGTTCTCTGTTGTATATTTGCTCGTATTAGGGCATTCTCAAAATGAGCAAAACTCAGAGTATGCTAGAAAATACTATAAATGTGACAAGAAAAAAGTGGCACTGAGGGGAGAGAGAAAGGATGTGGGTCAGAGAGGCAAGTCATAGATTTATACGGCATCAACTGAAGTTGGAATTTCTACTGAATGGTAGCATCCCTGTCTAAGGTGAGAGCTGGTGTGTGTGCGCATGGGAGGGAGCGGAAGAGAGAGAGCGAGTATGAGATATAGAGAAAGAATGCTTTGTGGATCAGAAAACATGTTTATGAGTCGGGACAAAGGAAAACCATTCTATTAAAAACAGAACTGGTCACCTTAATAGAGACATTCAGACGCTCTGGCTGATATCACTGGAGGGGTCTCGTTTTCAGCACGAATCTGAGCATCAGTGGAGGTTCTAAAAACAGTGACAACTGCAGGAAAAATCTACAGTTCTTTCTGAGAAGCTGCACCGTGGATGTCAGCATCCTTAAAGCTCAGGTACTGACATGTCAAAAAAGAAGGACCTCGCAGAATTCATCAACTATGTCCCCATGTTCTCTCTCTCCCTCTCCTCTCTCACTAAACTCAGACAAATACCACCACAGTTGCAAACACAGAAAGTGAGGGCTGCCCAAAACCACCAGTAACCCAAACAAAGTCCAAGGTCAGCAGAGTGGGCTCACTGAGCTGAAACCACCAACCCTGGCTTTCATTACCAGGAACAGAATCAGCAAAGGGATGCAGGGACACATGGGATGAGGTTACATTCACCAGCTCTGTTTATCTCTATTGGGTTGGCTTGAGTCCAACTCATAGCTTCTCTCTCATTTGCGAGATACAAAAACTCCAAATGTGTTGATCCAAGCATCAACACTTTAAATTATTGTACAACTCACTGTTTGTCTGCAGAAACAGAGAAGAAATAGGACCTTTCTCTGAGTTGTGTTTACTTGTGTTATACTGATTTTACAAGTAATTATTCAGTGTTAAAGGTCTTGGAATAATGTGCTAGGAGAAGCTGTCATAGGTCTGATCAAAACAAGGCATAAAAAACGGGACATCGTTAGCACTCGATGTGTCATGCATACATATACTAACAATATTAGGAAAAAGCACACACAGAGACTGAAAAAGACCTCGCATTTTTTAAAGACGTTAACTCACCCTCTTAAACCCCTCCTATAACTATAAAGACAAACATGGCATTTGCCATTATCAATACTGAGTGTGCTGCTAATATGTGCATGTTAAAAGTATAACAATCCTCAAAAGTGTTGCATTTAGAGCAGCCTTATAATCAATCAGAATCCATTATGCAGTGTGCTGTTTAATGTGTGTTTCAGCTATTAACTTTGGAACTGGCATGGGTTTCCAGATAAATAAAGAGCAGATCAATTCCCACAGCCAGAACAATGCAGCGTGCAGAATTAATTCTTTTTAATGTTTATTGGATAGATTGTGCTTGTCAGCGAAACAGTTGGCCACAATGCACAGAACATTTAGAGGATGATCTAAATGAGCACCATTGTTCCAAAACGACCAAGAACAATATTACTAATAATAATAATAATAATAATAATATGAAGAAGACAAAGAAGAGGACTGAGAATCTCTAAGTGACCAAACTAACACCACCCAAAAGAAAGAAAATATAAATGGCTGATGGCTGACTATAAACATGCCAATAACGTTTTTCTTGTCAAATGTAAACCACAATATAAAAATTTAATAAATAAATAACATTCCACAAACTTTGGAATATTGGGGTTCCATACAAATTTCATTTTGACTTTACAAAGAGATTTCACTGTGGCCTTGAACATTGTTTTAGGAAATTTTGGTCATCAGAGTAACTGAAAATTATAAAATGTGAACTGTAAAACCTTCCATCTCCGGTTACTGACCTGCTCTGTGGGCTCAGGCATTTTACCCATCATGGTCAAGGTCCCAGTTCTGTCCTCCCCATTAGTCTCCCCAGTGAGATTAGACTCCCACACAAGCACACACATACACAAATTATTTATATATATATATATATATATATATATATACATATATATGTGTGTGTGTCTGTGTGCACGCATGTGTGCCTGAGTGGGTGTCATTACTTCTGCCCCTATCTGACGGTTTTGGGTTAAATAATGTTATTATTAAAGTCTTTCCAGAGCTGCTCCCTTGCCTTCCTCCAGTGACACCCTTACCAGCTATAAATCAGCTGCCTGAGTCCTGCAAATCACATGGAGTGAGTGTGTGCTTGTCTAAATGTGTGTGTGTGTCTGCTTGACCACTGCAGCTGTATTCTCAAACACACATGAAGATGACACTGCAGCTGTGAACATTTCAAGCAACGCCGATGAAAACTATTGAATGCGAAACTTTAAGAATGTGCTTTCCGTGTGACTTGAAAGTAACCTCGCAAATAAACTATAAATCTGATTTATGAGCAGATATCATGATGGGTTTGCTGTGATCGTGTGAACCTGACTTTAGTATGGTTTACATTAGGAGGGAAAGTGCCATGAAAATGATGCTTAGGCCTCTGTTGTTAGTGGTAAAATGAATTCCTAACACTGAAAGCAACCATGTTAGACCACTAAAGATTAGTTTATGTGTAGAGTGAGAAAGAGAGACAATTTCATCTACCTGAGACCAAACTAGATAAATAATGCTCTGTGAAATAAATGGCTTCTGTGCAGCAGTGATGGCTCATTCCGTGATTGTTTGTGATTGTGTTGACACCCCCTGCTGGGCTGAAGACATCACTACCACACTGAGAGCAAGTTCACTGCCAGTGACAATGTCCCGCATCCAATCCCACTCCCAGCCAAGATATAATATGCTGAAGTTAATGAAACACTAAAATCAAGCTGATATCTTCTTTCACTCTTATATCACTCCAGCAATGAACACAGACAGATAACATAAAACAGGCAAAAAAATAATGTACTGTATCATTTTATATATCCTTAAATCAAAATTTCACTGGTGTATGTGTGCGTGCGTCTGTGCACGCGCACACTCAGGAAAAAGAGTCTAGACAGCTGTATCCCCGGCAGGTCTCTCACAGCTAAGGAGAGTGAGAAATATATACCGCGCAGCTGCCGAAGACACAGTCGACCCACAAAAGAGCTATTGTGCGCCCACAGCAAAACAATACAGCTTAGCTGAGCTATGAGAAAAAAAACCATTGGAATCAATAGAGAATTGCAATTAGCCCACATTGGCAGGAGCAGTGCCAGATTAGACACAGGATGTCGATTCCATTTCCTGCACTATAGGGCCCTCAAACTTGGTTGGCTCATTGTGTAATTGGAACAATACAAATACATTTGGGAAAGACGGAGTGTGAAGGTGATAGTGCTAAAAATTACTGTAATGAAGATAAAGATGATGATAATACTCTTAAGACACTGAACAAGGTCAAAAACACAAAAATAAATGCAAGCGGGTATAACCCAAAAGTAACAGGCAAACATTTACAGCATCATTGCATAGAATATAAACAAATGCATGGATGCGTGTTACTACATGAGTTATATTTTTACAACATCACACTGCAACAACAGACCACGGTAATTACGAGCACAAAATTGCTCCAGTTTGCAATTTCTGACATCACACGAGCTTCACATGTACCCCATGTGACTAAAATGATTATTTTTACATTTCCACTTTTACGACAATTTTCCAAATGCACAAGTGGTGCTTCGGTAATCTTAAAAGCAACGTGGCCAAGCACTGAAAGAAAACACATTACCATACACACCTCCTTTTACTTCCTTCAGTGCAAACAATGAGGTCTTTTGCTCACCCTCTCTCTAGCCTTGACAGAATGCAAAATAACTGACTTGCTAATTAAAGGGCTTACCTTTAAGTATGCCCTGACCTTGCAGTACATCCCTTGAAATCAGCACAGAGTAGAAGCTTTGTGAGAAGCCAGGTTGGCAGGGACCTTTGGAAGCGTGCACCCCATTATTCCTCTGGAAGAAAAAAAAAAACATTGAAAGACATCGATAAACATGGATTCCATTGATTTCTTTCCTCATTTTTGGCTCCAAGCTTTGGAGAAAAGCAGCATAAAGAACAGTTAGCAGAAATAAATTCAACAAGTTTATCAACTCTTTCTGCTTGTGGCTAGATGTGATGCTGATTAAATGGTCACACAGTCCAATGTCAGTGATAAAATGTGCTGTGTTAGTCGCTCCATGAAGAAACCACCCCAGACAAAATGAGGACAGATGTAGTTAAAAGTATTGTACTCAGGCTTAAGTGACACGCGCGCGCGCACACAGGCAGCACGCGCACAGAGGAAACCTGCATGAATGCAGAATAATTGTCTCCCTGCTTATTGTGGGTCTTGTACTAACGGAGAGGTCCAGGGATATGAGGGGGGAGCAGCACGCCTGTGCGCACTAATCAAACGGTCTGCAGTCAACTTTGCACCCAGCATTTAGCGCTCACTGTTGTTTAAATTAAACGATCTGACCCACTACAGCCATGGCACACAAGCAAATGCACGCGCCCGCACACACGCACGCACACACACACTAGCAAGATTGGCTGGACAGGAATGGAGGTTCAACACACTGCGGGGGCATACCGCAGGAGCACAACATTTTTTCAGTCTTTTTCCGATATCCATATAGCAGGAGAGCAATTGCCTCCGTCTGAGGCGGCGGAGAGAGAAAGATTTAGGAGCTACTCCGAGCTCCGTTAATAGTCCACTGGCGCCGACTTAATTCTGGATTCATGAAATGACGAAAAAGGCTGAAAAACACTACATAACTTTAAAGTTAACTTTTGCAAAGGCATCGCTTTTTTGACAAGTGAAACTTAAGGGGATGGTGGGCTGTAGCTTAAATAAGCGACATGACCAAGTCAGTTTGAGAAAAGAATAAAGGTATCACCTTGGGTGAATAACTTGTGCCGTGATTTAAGTTGTGTATGACAAATGATGATGACCTGCCAGCGATTTAGAGAAATACTGACAAGGCTTATACGGAGCGGACCTCGAGACTTACTTTTTTTCTTTTTATACACTGAAATTCATTAGGGAACCAATTAGCGTGCCTACTTGTAGGGGGATAACGGCGAGCCCCGCGTTGCTGTACCAACACACACCACGGCTTCCTTCTGGCTGCATGACTTTATTCGAGCTTATGTGCTGTATCAGAAGCTTTAGTAAAAAAAATGAGAAATCTCACCCAGAATGTGTCAAGAAGAAGGGCTGCTGTCAGGACCAGAGCGAAGTCAGTTCTCATCGTGGCGAGGAAGCGACTCAATGCTGCCCGGACAAAAGAACCAGAAAGAGGGTCGGTTCGTATTTTTCTTTTCCAAAAATTATTCCCCCTTTCTCGGTCAGACTGTTAGTTACGTCCCTCTGCGCGCTTAGTGAGTGTGCTGCCCCGAGTTTCCCCGGCTCTCTCATCTGCAGGTGAGCGCTCCGCTCAGCACCAAGGCGCAGCCAGCGTCACTCTCCAACCCCTCCTATCACTCGGTGCAGGAAAACTCCACACACGCACTTAAAGAAACACTCGTTGGCGCTTTGGATCAAACAGACGCACTGCTAACGTCTTTCCGAGGACCCCGACATTTCAAATCCATGTCCTATTGCGAAGGCGTCGCAGTTTTATGGTCGGATGAAATATGCCCAAACATATGGCAAACTCGTCAAACATCAGCCATCAAACTTCCAGCATTGCTTTACAAGCATGTAGCTTTAACATATGTTCATTAATAGATTTCTCCAGTTAACCAGTTGCACGAATGTGCGTAGTTTGAGTAAACGGAGTAGGTCAGGGTTGGTTAAAACAAGGTAGCATGTGCGACATATTGGCGACTTAAAGCTCCAGGTGACCGGGACAAGTATTAAGAAAAGTGTGTTAAGAAAAAAAGAAATGAAGAACGAAGCGACTATTTTTTTAACATGACTCAACAGATGGTGTTTTAATAGCAAAATACTTTCCATTTATATTAATACACCATTAGTCATGCATTTTGCTGATTACTTTGAATAGTATCGAGGTTTGTGGTATGTCTTAACAGATGTACATTGAATTTTTTTTTTCTTTGTGATAATCTGAAGCAAAGTCTTCATCTGCCACAGTGAGGCCTGGAGGGGTTTAAATCCTTTATGTGGGTACAGAAGTTCAAAGATGTTAAACAGAACTTTTCATTTTGTTGACATGTGGAGTTACGGGATGAGACTGAGGCTCACACAATTTCAATACTGGCTGGCATTTGGCAAACTCACCAGAAATGTAGCCTTTGTTTTCAGCCAATCTAGTACGTTTTCTGAGACTATAAAAGAGAAAATTCACCAAAAGAAAAGTCTAGGTTAATGTTAATCAAATGTTAATTCAAAAGGTTTTTAGTGTGAATCAAAATGTCTGACAAAAGCTGAACTTAGCTTCTTTTTTCTTCAACTGCGCTGCCCCCCACCTGCTCCCCAAAAAGGTCTCCTAGCTAAAAAGGGCAGACAAGCCTATGTCCAAGAACTGGACCTTGCATCCCCATTAATCTGGGTCAACTTATTGCCTGCAGCCTATTAGTATAAGCAGGACATGTACCCAACCAGTTTCTTGTGGCTACAGAAAACCTTTCTGAACAAAAAAAACCATCATATTACAGAGGACGGACTGCCTTTCTGGCCTTTTGAGCTGCTAATGACCTTTATATTCTGGTGTCTGTAATTGGCAGACTGGTCTCCATATCTGCTTAGTGGACCAATAGGTTCTAACCTTGTGGAAAACTGTACAAGAGTGTATTCAACAAATTCCCTCTGTGCAAAATGTAGGCATTTTACCACCTCTCTCATCCCAGTCCCTTTGTCACAAAGATGAACATTCATACCCACAGTCCTTTATATTCCTCGTGGCTCTTGTAATATGCTGAAGGTTTCTGTCTGTCTGGTATGCTGTGACTGGCAGGTCTCACTTTCTCTTTATCTCTCTGTGTTGTTTTTGTGTCCAAGAGAGGGATTTAGTATATGTGCATTAGAACAACACAGAACTCTGAGGTTTTGTAGTAATGCAATGTAAACTATGATTAATGCAGTTAAGATATGGATAAGCTTTATACACAGTTCTAACAATATTCAGCATCCATTCAGACAGTTTTGAAAGAAATGAGTCATGCTAGTATGGTGCAGGACAGCAGGTAGAAGGCCTCTCTGCAATATTTAAAATGAATCAGCTAAAGCAAAATGCAATATAGCCACATCTTATTGTGTGCACCACTTTTTATTAAAGAATAGCACCACTGGCAAGCCTACTGCTGGTTCACCGATGCCGAGGGCAAACAGCAGGAACTGTTCGGTTTGCATTTGCAAAAAGGTCTGATATAGCTTTAAAACAATTGATAAATAAACTCAATACTTCAAATTGCTAAGAGCTCAACTTTGAACTACAGACATTCAGTTATAAACTATTAAAAGACTTGGGAGTAAAACACAGAGTAGATTTTGAAACTGCACTTTCTCTCTAGTCACCAGCATGGCAACATGTCACATGTCAGGTAGGGTGTTGCAGGATGTATTCGCAGCTCGGCCCAGGAGGTCACAATTACAGGCTAAACACTGCCTGTGGAAACACAGCACTTGTTGATCTGAGTTTTCTCTCCCGTGAAAGTCACGCTACATGCCCACCCAACACAGTGACCTCCACTTACTTACTTTCTACTTTTAGAGGACACACTACTTTTTGAATCGTTGCTGAATGTTGGCATTAGATTTTAATGGTGTGCTGCAGAGCTGCTCACTATGAAAACAATTAATCAGGACACTGCTCTGTTAGTGTGGGAGACCTTAACATTTTAGTCAGAGGACACCGGTGAAACAATCAAACTTGCTGTAAAGATATTTAAAATATACTTTAAAAATATCTTAATTGTTTTATGATTATTAAGCTGATAATGATGATGGTTGTTGTTGTTATTTTTAAGGTAGTTTCTAGGAAACAATGTGAGAAAACTGTGCAGTTTTGTTGGTATATTATTATACCTGCTTAATATGGTTTGCTGTCAAAACAGTATCACTTTTTTTTCCTGGTGTGTCACAACTGGATATTTGAAGTGGATCCCCTGGGACCTGGGTTTTGAGCTGTGTGCATTAGGTTTGTTACCACACTTGGTTGTTATCACACTTGGTTGGATTTGGATCTGAGGAGGCTGAAGACATGGCCAGTACCTGCATGTTCTCAGAGCTTTTCCTGAGCATTTTTCATTGTGTGGCAGAGTGCAGAGTGCTGTTGGGGATCAGTGGGTGTTGTTGTCATTCCTTGGTGTTCTTGGTCTACTAGAATGTTTATGTGGATAGCATATATCAAACTAATATCAATATGAATGCCAGGACCCAGGGTTGCCCAAAAGAACTTTGCATTTTAGAGAATCAAAGTTTGTCTGTCAGTCATTTTAATATGGAGGCTGTCTTCTTTTCTGGTTTTTTATTACATTATTTAAGAATTCTATATGAATATTATCTAATGGTTTTTGGCTTTTTTAGTGAGCTTTGACCTAATTTCATTGTGATGCTATGAACAATGGTATAATGACAATAAAGTATCTGATGTCCTATATTTGATCTAAAGTTTTGATCAGTTATTTATTTATGTCGGAATTAAGCGATAGTTCTCTACGTTTTCTCAGGATATTTCAGAGTTTTCTCATGAAACGATGAATCCAAGATTGAAATTTGTCAATCATATGTATGGATGTGGTTGACATTTACAGAATTTACAGAGGAGGTCTGGAGAAAGTTTTAACAGTGAGGGTCCACAGTTATCTGTAAAACATGGTGGAGGTTAAGTCATTGTTTGGGGCTGCATTGCAGCCAGTGGTGTTGGGGATCCAACAATGATCCCAAATACACTACCGCTGGAGTAAAAGCATAGCTGGATAGAAATACACTATAAGTCATTGATTGGTCTGTGCAGAGCCTGGACATAAACATTACTGAAGCAGTGTGGGATCATCTTGACTGAGACAAACAAAAGGCATCCAGCATCCAAAGAAGAGAGAACTATTTCTGAAGACTACTGAAAGGAAATGCAAAAAGCGTGCCTAAGAGAGTTAAAGGTGTGTTGGACAATAAAAGTGATCATACCAAACATTCATGATCATCAGACCTGTACAAATTCAAACTCACCTTATATACTTTATTTTTATTTTTTGGTATGTTTCAATAAGTCATTGCTCCTATTTCCCATTTTCCTTGAAAAATTTAAAGAAATTAGCGGGTTACTCAATACGTTTGCACTGTAATATAAATAAGTTATGTTATTATGTTATAAGATTTTCATACATTCCATGCTAAACAACTTCTCATCCTCTAAAAAGAAGTGTGGTGGAGAGTGATTCTTTTTCCCCTTTATTTTCTTTGTGTTCTTTGTTTATTTCAAGTTTTGGGAAGACTGTTCAGAAGAAAGGCATTTAAACCAAACAAAATTATTCTTTGGGTGCAAATGGTATATTTACTTTTTCTCCCTCTTCTTTTTTCTTCCAGTAAGCAAGAACAAGAATGTTATTAAAAAAGGATTTCATTAAAGCACTCATGTAGGTGATGTATTCCCCCTTCCCAAAAAGACCAGCCACAAACGATCTTTTGCTGATGATGATATCCATGTGTTGGAATCTTTAACCGTGGTTTTCCAGTCTAAATTTTCTAGTAAGTAACGCCTAAAGGAATTGCACATGGATTTTGTTTACACCAATAGTATTTTAAAAAAATATATCAACAGCATGATCTTTTATTGCAGACTTTACACACATGAATATTAACTTTCTTTACTTGCTTTGAAATATCTGATGTATTTCCTTATTTTTTTTGTGGGATTTTTAAAAAGAAATAACAATGAATGTAGGCGTGGATGGCCTGGAGTAAAAAAGTTGAACTTCACTACTTAAACACACTGTTAAAATAGTATTGGAGATGGCATACTGCATTTTTCAGCTTTATCTCAATGGTCCAATTTATATAAAAAGAAAAAAGTCAGACAGGTCAATGTTTAGCTATTAAAGTGAATTTGATATCATGTCAATAAACTTGAAAGTGTGTGACAAATATTGATTTTGCTAGTTAATGTGTGCCTCTGTCTGGGCATGACACTCCAATCATTCTACTTCAGTCGGTTCAGCTTCTGAGAAGTATTTGCTAACTGAGGTGCTGTGCCTTAGCTTTTTATTTTTTGCCAGATTGTTCAGTTTTCCTACCTTCTACTAAGCCTATGCTGACTTCTTATTCAGTTAAGTTCATTCGTAATGTAATTTGCCCATTAGAAATAACTCCTCGTCTCCCTGTGCTTCAGGCCCACAACCTCTTCACCAGCTACCTGTCTGCCTCGCTTAGCTCCACACTCACTCTGTCACCAGCAGCCTTGATTGTCTGTACTGCTTTAAGCTTTACGCCATCAGCTTGCCCCGCTGCCTGCCACATTCTTTACTCGGCCCATCTACAACCAGG